CCAGAAAGTCCAGCCAGTGTATCTCTTAAATCTTTTCTGGAAACAAAGTGCAAACATCCATATGCTTCTCTTGCTTGAGCAGATGCTTAAGTTGCCCGCAGGCTATTTTCACATGCCCTCAGTTAATGAGCCACAAAGTGGTCAAAGTACACACGGAGAAAACATTTTTCTGTGCCTTGTGCCTAAAATCTCTATGCTGTGTGCACAGTCATGGGCAGCTGAGGGAGGGCAAAATGGCAACCGTAAACAGGCCTGGCCTCTTATTCTCCAAAAAGTATATTATTCACGGCCACCACCATCCAGGCATGGCAAGGCAGACCAGAAAGCAACCAGGGATCACCAAAGCCCCCTCTGTGATTTGTAACGACATCAAACTCACCCTGCCTGCCCTCAACTGACATCTGCCTATGCAGTTCTGAAAAGCTGCTGGCAGGGGAGCCTGTTCCAGGGCTAACCTGTCCTTGCAGCAAGTAAGCTTTCCTAATTCAAACTTCCCTTGCTACCAGCTAAGCTGATTACGTTTCCTTTTACACATACACGGCGCAGAACGATAACTGATCACTGCCCTCTTGATCGTAACTGATTGAAGACTTGTGACTGAAGACTTTGACTTTCAGTCAGACCAAGATCCCTAAGCCTTTGATTTCTACTTCCTTTCCTTCTTCACTAGGGCCCCACCTTCCACAGAGCGAGGTGCCCACACCACAGCAGTACTCCTCTGGAGGCTCTGACATTCTCAGCTAAGCGCAGCAATTACCTGTCTTACATTTGACATTCCCATTAATAAGGCTGCAAATGACATTTGCCCTTTTTTGCAGCAGGATCAACATAATGAATCCCACTCTATTTGTAGCCCACTATAACCCTAGATTCTGCTTTTACCGTATTGTAATCTTAGCCTGCTATTCACCATCTGTATACGCAAACCTGTTTTTTTTTCCTCAAATGTAATTTGCACCTGTCTTTTAATGCATTGCATCTTATTGATTTCAGGCTATTCTTTCAATTCATCAGGATCATTTGGAATTCTAATCCTAATTGAAATTATGTTGACTGGCACATATTCTCCAGGTTTATCCCCTTTGCAAAGGCAGATACCAAATCTGCCCTTTACCGAGGCCCCTGAGAATTCAACCTCCCTCTAGGAGTTCTCAAACAAGCTTGTTAATGCTTTGGAGATCGTTTTTCTTGGCTCTTATGCACTCTAGAATAAATTTCATCAGTCTATCCCGACTGGAGTGCATCGCACCCTAGTATTCTTTGCCATGTTGTTCTTTTGCCACCTTGTAGTGAATACTAACAGTGTTATATAGGTGGACACAGTTTCTTGTATTTTGGAAAGACTAAAGCAAAGAAAATAGAGAAAAGGAAAAAAAACTATTTCTGCACTGTGCTGCCATTTCATTATTTTCTCATCCACACTCCATGTTAGAAGACATACCGATACTTTCTTTCACCTATCCCTTATGCTCTGCTTATCTGTGAACCCACCTGCTGGTGTGCACATCTTTTGCTTACTGTACCTGAGTGTGCACTGTGGTCCTTCTGGTTTCATTCTTGTGCTGTTTGCTACTCTTTCAGGCTCACCCTTAGCAATACTTTTTTTTCTTTCCTTTCTTTTGCCCATTAAAGAATCTCTGACATAGATACGTAGTTTGTCATTGTGCTTGCTGTTCTCTGCACCAAAAGAAGATGGTGCTGCACCTTAAACATGCTTTCCTCTGGAGGAAGCCAAAGATCATCTGCTGCTTCCTCCCCCTACAGAGTTCCTCCCGCACCTCACCTGTAGTGAAGTGGCTATCCTCCTTTTCTCAGAAGTGGGATCAATTTTGTTTCCTGATTACCTTTGCCCTTATCACTTTCCACTTACAGGTTGCTAGCTTGTTCCATCAGCCTCCTTACATGCATCTAGGGGAATGCAGTGCTACAACATACTCCTCAGTTTCTCAAAAGCAATGACTCAGGCTTAAAGCTTTCCAGACAGCTGCTTTGCAACTGCGAGCTACCTCCTCCCCACCATCACACACTTCTCCCACATTCCCTTTGCTTACATGGATCCTGTTCCTCCTCCTCATGGATAAAACAACACATGAGAGTGTTAAATGACTCATCAAAATTACTGCCTGATGTTGGCAATCCTTCCCCTTATGTATCTTACATTTACAGTTATTGATGAGTTTCTTTGGAAAAGCATCTATGCAGGAAGGGAGCTTTCCCTTGCCTTGCAGCCCTCAAGCATCCTGCTGTGCTGAGTGACAGCAGTCTTTGCCTACTCCTCTCTAGTAGGCTGAAGATCTTCCCTGAGTGTAGACTTCCTAAAATCAGTGTGGACTAGTGCATTGGCTCATTTAATTAAACTGGGATAATTTCAGTTCCTGCTGTGGGAGGTTGATGCTGTTTACTGATTACTGGCTCCCCACTACAAGAGAGACATGGCACTATTGGAAAGAGTCCAGCGGAGGGCTACAAAGATGATTAGGAGACTGGAGCATCTCTCCTCTGAAGAAAGGCTGAGAGAGAGCTGGGCCTGTTCAGCCTGGAGAAGAGAAGACTGAGAGGGGATCTCATCAATGTCTACAAGTATCTGAAGGGAGAGTGTCAAGAGGATGGGGCCAGACTCTTCTCCGTGGTGCCCAGCGACAGGACAAGAGGCAACGGGCAGAAACTGAAACACAGGAAGTTCCATCTGAACCTGAGGAAAAACTTCTTCACTGTGAGGGTGACAGAGCACTGGCACAGGTTGCCCAGAGAGGTTGTGGAGTCTCCTTCCCTGGAGATATTCAAAACCCATCTGGATGCGATCCCGGGCAATATGCTCTAGGTGACCCTGCTTGAGCAGGGGGGTTGGACTAGATGATCTCCAGAGGTCCCTTCCAACCTTGGCCATTCTGTGATTCTGTGATTTGCAAATAAAAATTCATAGTGGGCCAGGACTTGGAAAAGAAATACAAGCACCAAAATGTTTTCTAGTGTCCATACCCTCTGTGCCCTGGAGTCAGAGGGGCTGGGTATCATTTACAGGTGGTTTGTAGTACTGTTCATTCCTCTTCCTGCTCCTGAGTCACCCAGCTGCAGCAATCTGCAATGACTAACAGGGCAACAGGGAGACTGACAAGAGTGGATTAAGGCACTAGAGCACCAAAGGAACATTTAAGCAAAGCCTTGCCATGGTACAGGGTGCTGACAGTTTCCCGGAGCTTTTATAGAGCTGTTTGCAAGTCAATATCAATCTAGCTGTGGTAGTGTGCTAGAGCCTGGCCTTCTAGGCTAGTTGCCATTTCCTTTATTATTTTGTGACTCTCCATTCTCTTTATGCATTTGTTTTCTTAAAACTTCAGAAGGGCAAAGTTCAGTTCCACTGGCAGTGGGAACTCTTAGAGATTAAGCTCTTAATACCCTCAGTGTGGAAGCAGACTTGCACAACAGTATCGCATCCCCCTCTGTGCTCATCTGCTCTGCTGAGCTTTGGCGCATTCATGAGCTCAGCACTCACATGCTCTGGATGCATCCCCTGTTAAGCAAAGGAACAACTTCTTCGGCCAAGAGCTGGGCTGTACCATAGCTTTCAGAGCAGGTCACTGCTACACACTAGCCTGCAGTAGCTCTCCCATTTGCCTTGGTCCAGACCATGTGAAATTTTTAGTTTCCAGCAGATTTTGCTGTCTTAGCAGCTATCTGTAGTCAGGGGCTTGACACTACCAACACACTCACTGTTTTCTTTTTCTGGCAGTAGGGCTTTTACCTATCTTTATCATGTGGGACTACCCGCTCCTAGATCATGCCATCCTTGGACACAAGCAACTGCACAGTTCTGCTTTAATTCACAGCCAAGTCCACCGGCAAGAAAGACAATTTGCATTTTCTGGTGACTATTTTTTGCAAAGTTCACCTTCACTCTCAAGGTTTCCTGTTTTTATTTATGCTGAACTCCTGCACAGCTAAGCGCTCCATCCTAGGCATGCGCTCCTGTCACAGTCTCCTCGTGTACAAGGTCAACAGTCTGAGTTTGTTCTTGCAGCAGATTATCTTTCCTGGAGTGTTCCAGCTGCTCCACAGTGTCTGGATTCATTGGTGGGAATCCAAAGAGACACCTCATCCAAAGAGCTATCCCAAATGGCAACATAGTTTTCTTTTTTTTTTTTTTTTTTTTAATTTGCTTGGCTGAGCACTTGTCACTGGTACTTAACACGTTGCAGGTATGCTATTATGGGAGGTGAACTGGAGGTTACTCACCCATGTAATTAATTTGCTTGCTGGACACAATGCACTGATACCAAATTTTTTTAATATGTAAGTTGCAGCACAAAGCATACTGATGTAAGAATGGACCACAGTGAATCAGTACAGCTCCTTGGTCCAGTACAAATGTCCTTACATATCTATTACGTAAACTCTCGGATTATATGTAGGCAGGAATAAGCAGATTTCTCTCATCACTTATTTTCATAGGGAATACATCTCAAGCTACTCAGTTATCCTAGACTTCGGTCGTTTTATTTATGAAAATACTGTAAAATGGCAAGCATTCAGTGTTTTTATTCAGATGAAATTCCTATTGAAATATATTCTGCTGTTGTATGCTTTTCTACTTCTCAAAATAAATTAATTCAAAGGGATTCAGAAAGGTTTTTTTAGTGGTATACAGGGACACGAGTAAAGAATCATTATGGTGCTACACTGCGGCTGGATCAACTATCATTGGTCCTACATTCCCCTGACATATCATCCTTTTGTTGATATGTGTTAAAAGCGCTAGCATAGGATTTAGCTTTAAATTCTCTGCAATTAAAAGCAATTTCATCATTATATTCAATGGAAAAAAGAGTGGCCCCATTGCTGTGCCTTTGTGTTGATTTTCTAAATCTTGCACACTCGGTAACAGTTTTGCCCTCAATTTCTACCCAAAAATAATACTACAGAAACAAGCATCATTAGTTCTAATTCAACTTCAGAAAAGTTTATACAATATCATCTCTTTATACTGACTAAAAAACACTTACCTCAGATAAATGACCCTCTGCTCCAAATGAAATATCTTCCAAAACCTGTTAGAGATATGTTATTAAGTATATGGTAGGTGTGTGCTATATAAACATTAAGATTTCAATGAACCTTATAAAATCAGGATAACAAATTAAAAAGTTACATAAGCTGAACAATTACATCATTTTGCTACACAATCAAACATTTCAATTGCCTTTATAATAGAGCAGTGGCGGCCACCCAGTATTTACAGCTAAATTTGAATGCATTTTATTAGAAGTTTGACTTTTGGTTTCCTTGTTAAAACCTACAAGGAATACTCTCTCTAAAAATACTCTCTCTGAAAGACCTACTATGCATCGAGACAAACTTTTCTACCAAGCTGTTAATGATCTGTACACCGTTCAACGGTCTACAGAAATTTTTTGGCACAAATCCTGTAAGTGATTTTGGGCAGGACAAGTGAAGGACCCCACTGATGTTTTGCAGAGGTAACATGCTAACCATAGTCAGACCCTCTCTCAAAACTTGCTTCAGCTGTAAAGTCTATAAGAAATTAGCCAACGTTTCACTGATTCGCTGAGGAGCAACCAAAGAAATTCGATGTTAATGTTAGTGGAAAATCATTAGTATGCACCACACTTATAACAATACAGACAATCTTTAAATAAACTTAGCTAGGGATATTGCCTTGATAGGGCAATATTTAGGATCATAAGTATGTATATATACAAAGTGTAAAATCATTATTCTGTCCTAAGATCATTATTACTGAATATTTCAGTAATCTACCTGAAAAGAGTAGATTTCTTTTTTCTTTCTTGTTTAGATTTCTTTTACCTGTAATATTCAATGTACCTGTAAGGATTAAACTTACTGAGATACTAAGATCTCCCTCTAAAGAGCTAGCATGTTTACCAATAGACACAACTACAAGGCTTCTTATCGCACACTATTAAGTGTGACCGTACAACAGTGATCTGACCGTTGTATACAAGCCAGCTGCCTGTTGTCACAGGAATCCTTTGCCACTTGTATTAAGAATACAGAAAATATTCCAACACTGACTTTCAGTGATGCTTAATGCTGACATTTAAAATGAAGATTAAATTTAAAGTTTCCAAATTATTTTTGAAGCTCTACAAATACAACACTTAATTAAATCTCAAATGAAAGCACAGTTTATTTAGCTTCCTAGAGGCTTTGTCCTTTACACGTTGCACATTTGCCTGCTGGATCACAGGCTATTTCAATGCACGGTAATAAGTTACAGCCTGCTGACAGAGGCTTTCTTGTTGCCTGCTATCTCTAGATTCTGAAAAAAGTTGTGTCATAGGCTGTGATGACTTCTTTTTAATGACAGACTTCACATTAAAAATTAACTATTGTTGTTCTTTTTCAGGATCGTCCTCTTCAAAATCACTTAGAACATTTAAGATCTTAAACACAGTGCATCAAATGAATGCTTTGCAATTACAGAACACCTTCCCAACTCCGAAGTGCTTTACAAAAAGCTCCCAGACGTCTTCCCCAGCTGGTAAAACTGAAGTATGCAGAGGTTCTGGAAGACAGCAGCCCTTACTCTAACCCCTTCTCTCTGCATCAGTTATGATGAAGGAACAAGAAATAATCTACAGTGAATTCTGACGTGACAATTACCAAAAATGCTGACTTACCAAAGGTTACACTAGTGAATTTTGTTTTTTACCTTGTAACTTTAATCACCTCAATTTTCTTGAAATCTAGTAGGTGTTTCTTTCCTTCATAAGGATTAAGAGGGAACACTGCACAGCATGCCAGATAGCAGAAGAAGGAGAAAAAAGGATAGGTCAGGAACTCAAGCTGCAGGTGCACACATTCTCATGTTCATTGAGATACTTGGTGTTAGGGAGGTCCGAGCATAGACACATCTCCATATTTATTAGTTATCATCGGTGCTTCTGGTGTTATAGAAAGGTTTTACTTACACATACATTATCAACAAGCAAAAAATAAAGCAAGATTCCATAAGAAGAAGTGGAACAAGCAGGCGTTAATATCTGAAGAGAAATGAAATGTTACTGTGTATTTTAGAAATCACCTAGACACATATCTAACTCTGTAATAATGTTTATAATTTCCATCTCACTCACATGTAGCCTGGGTAAAGTAATTTGGAGTCAATTTACAACTACAGAACATTCCTGGGACAAAAATCAGAACCTGTCATGAATTCCTCAGAGACTCAGGAGCAAATCAAGCCTGCTTAGCTAGCAAAAGACAAGCTAGATCTACACTGACGGGGCACTTCAATTTCAACAAGATAGCCATCACCTAGAAAGTTGAAGCATATATGAAAATTCCAGAAACTCTTACCTACATTAAACCACAAGCAGACTTTGACATGAGTAAGGCTAGTAATACTGTCTACAACAGTGCTTCAGCATTTTTTAGATACTATATTCTAATAAGTTATATGTTGTTGAGAAGGGCAAAGCGTAATTTTTAATAACTCAGATTTTTCAGGATGATTTTTGCTGGCCTCATTTTATTTAGTTTTGACCAAAAAATTAGTAACGATGATTCAAGCTGAGCTGCAGAAGTATGTGATTGCATTCCCACTTCAGATTTTACAAAGGAGCTCTGATTTACAGGATTATTTTGGGATGTGAGTCTACAGCATAAAAAATTGCAAAACAAAAAAAAAAAAACCTGCACTGTCTTAGGAACTATAGTTATGAAGACCATAAAGTAAGTGTTGACAGTTCATAAACCTGCACTCACATATGACAGTAAAATATCTGAACTTTCATAGAATTTATACTTGACATATTTTATGTCTGAAAGTATATTTTATGATCCAGTGAAGATATTTAATTAAAAATGAAAAACTTGGCCCTTTTGCAAAGGAGCATCTGAGGAGCTAAGGATTCTTTCCATTGTTCTATTCTGCTTTCTTTTATTCTTCTGCTGTTTCTCAATTTTTTGTTTTCTAATGAAACCAGGATGGTAAAAGTCTATTATATGCATGGGAAACTATTTATAAAACACATAAACAAACCCAATATCCGATCCACAATAATACTGTGCCAGATATAACAAGCTAAATAACTAGAACACTTTATTTCACCATAAAGTAAATCAATTACCTGGGACTGAAAAGCACCTTGAAATGAAGGACATGCGCACATATGCTATTATTACCCTCTGCTCTATTTTTTGAAGCTAGTAATTCAATAATCTCTAGATACAAAGAGCGCCACTCTTTTCTCTTCTGCTTCAATGACTAACAGCTCTCTCTTGAAATGCCCAAATCTACAGCACAAGTAATACAAGTTGAAGGATATGGTCACTCTAGGAACATGGTAAACATCAAGATATTCCTCTCACAGGGACAGTACAGTCTTGTTAAATAATACCAAACCAAGGATTTTGACAATATTGCGTTCTTCCATTAGGCATCCCTGCTTCCTGATAAATGGCTACAAAACAGCTCACTACTAACGGACATCAGTAAGTTATTTCATGAAAGTCACACGAATAGTCAAGTTAGAGACCAAATGCCACACTACTGCTTTGTTTGTTTCTCACAAACGCAAACTATTTTAAACAAAAATATTACAATACCATATAAAAGAGCACTTAAATGCTGCAAAACTGGTTCATGCCCTTCAAGTCCATTTATAAATCAAGACATTGTCTTTCTTGTACTACCTTCTCTTCAAGACAAAATAACAACAGGAAGTTATCATGATTTGCAAGTCTGAAAAGTGTGCCAGGTGGTTTTTTTTAAAAATATTCTGCCTTGTGATGAACAACCAGGAGATGCTAGGGAGTGTTATGCTATAGCTCTCCTAACAGGTCACTCTGGCTGTCACTCCTACTGAGATCCTCCCTTTACTACCTAAAGGCACACCTTTCTGGATAAAACTTCTACCTCCTGCAACAAGGGGAAAAACCCTGAAACGTTGAAAGTACAAAAACAAGCTGACCAACCCTAAATCTGGAACCAGAACACCGGCTCTCTTTTTTTTTTTTCCCCCTTTTTTTTTCTTTTTTTAAGGTTATAAGGGGTTGCAGTGACCACTGATGCACAATTTAGGCTCAGTAGTTAAAGCTGCAGGCATCACTGAGCAATTCAGTTGGCAGAGAGAGATTAGTTGAGTACGTTGTGATAAAATATAGCCGTGTTGTTCAGCCCATTCTAAAATTTGGAAAATGAACGAACATTCTTACATTAAAAAACTGGTCCTTTCTTTCTTTTGTCGGTCCTAGGAACGATGTGAGAATAGATGTGAGAATACTTCCACAGGTCCTTCACTGACTGGCATTTTCACATTCATATTTACACATCAGCTTCTAAATAGATTTTGGCCTGCTCTCAAAATCATGTTTATTCAAGATGCACAGGCCAGATTCTAGGCAAAGGCATTTGTACCACAAAACCTAAACAAAGAGCTGAAGTTAAGGGAATAGTCTCCCTAAGTTCTCCCTATAGCTGATAGAGAGACGGAGAGGAAATGATCAAATGGGAAGTTCAAAAAGAGGAGCTTAATAGGGGCGTTGCAAGCACTGCAAATATGCTTTCCTTTTCCATTAAACTCATGGGGAACCTGGCCTTTTGGATTCAGCATCTCTCTTCAGAGCCAAAAGCCACCTCACTTCAGTTACCTAAATGTCATGCTAGGATAACAATGTTGATTTCCACAGAATTGATCCAAATTCACAGTGGTGAAATGGGTCATCTACAGTACAAACCTCAGAGTGCTACAGAAAAGGTCATATAACTCCAAACCCTCCAGAGCTTCTCAGCTGCGCTTTTGACAGAGGAGCTCAGCTTTCCATAAGCAACAGAACTACTCATATTGCTTCAGTGCACTCACTAAGAATATCAGGAAAAGAAAGAAAAAAAAAAAATCAAAGCCACAGCTGATCATTACCAACAAAAATGGCCTTTCTCTGAGTCAGTTTGTAAACTATTTTTCCTAAGAAAAGATTGCAAATACTACTGAAGTCCAATTTAAAAACAGAATTTTACAGACAAGAAGGGATTTTACAATAAGGTAATGGCCTGCCTTCTGCTAAGTCTCAGTCAGGATAAATGCAAAATTAGGTATCAGTTTTCGATGCAGTGCACGGTCAATGGCTATTAACACCATGTGCCATTAGGCACGCTTTTAATTTTTGTCAGCCAAATTCCAAGGTAATCAAACTGACAACTCTTGTTGGAGGGCATTTTTGTCACAGTGGTGCTGCTGGATGATAAAGTTTTTCAATAGCTTGTTTATCTGGACAGTGCAGCTAAAAGACTATTAGGTAGTTGTAAATATTTAAGCAAGGAAGGCATTCCAGAGCAGAACACAAAAACTTAAAAGAAATATGTCAAACCCTTTAAGCCTCATGACTTTTTCCTCCTTTTAATATTCGATGCATGCTGGAAGGCTGCCAGCATCTGAGCAAGGAAGCCTTCGACCATTTCTCTAGGGGAGGAAAACTTACTGCCACCACCCTTCAGCTAATATAGATCCAGGCTAACAAGTCAGCAGAAGTAACTCAGAGTGAAACTGTTGACAGCAACATGAGGACTATCTGATAATTTGCGTTAAATACGTAAATAATCTTAAGAGATCAGTTTTTCCTTTAAATCCAGATGTACTTTGTGTATTTATTGCCTGAATAATTTCCACAGTTTAAAAAGACTGATGGTGAAAGGAAGAAGGGTTGAAAATATTTCTGAGACGCTACTAAGCTATTTTATTCAAGCTCCATATTGGAGGCCAGATGTTAAGCTTATCCTTAACCTGCTGTGTTAACCTATTACCCAGGTTTAACTCCTCCTCTCAAAATGAAGAACAACAGTATCACTTGAAATCTAGCTGTAGAGTATTTCAAATACCTCTTTTTGTTCGCTGTGCTTGGGGCATGGAACAGTGCCCCACTCTGCGCTCTTTGGAAAATGACTTTCTTTTCTTTTTTCAGAGTCAGAAGGGCCATCAGCAGCCATCTCCATCTCATCCATTTGGTTCTCCTCTTCCTCAAAAACACAGCAACTGGTTTCTTTCAGTTGAAACCCTCGGATCAACAGCTGACAGGCCTCCAAGTCAGCTTCCCACACTCTCTGGAGCAGCTGGCTCCCACAGCTGAAATAAAAGCCAAAAGAAAATAAATCTGCAGTTCAGGGAGAATAGTTGTTATTTCAAGTAACTTTTGGAGTGATTGCTTGTGATTAGATAGGAAAATGAAAACAACAAAAATACCCAAGCAGCTCAAATATTTTCACAGAGATAACATAAGCTATTTCAAACTGAAGATTAGTAAAATGATGGCTCTATTACAAAGCAGATGTCATTAAGAAAATCTTTTCGGTAAGACACTATTTCCAATTGTACCACATACATTGGCTACATATGACCTTCTCCTGCTTCGACTGCAGTCGAGCAGTTTTGCAAGCAAAACCAGAACTTTCCTCTTTCTATCAGATACACAGATAGGCCTATCATCTCAAAAGCAGTTTTCCTGAATTTCTTACAGAAGACAGTGTATCAGCAATCAAACTATTTACTGCCGTAAATCAGTCCTAGTTTTCAAAAAATAGATAATATGACTTCTAAATTCCTTGTCTGACTGAAATGTTCATGCTTCAACTCTCATGAATCAAATTAAACCAGCAGCATTCTTCCTTTCCTTTATTTTTCTACTTTTTATATATATTCTGAGTATTCTCCTTATCTTTCTCTGAAGTGCTTTGTCTTTTCCACTTTGTTATCCCACTGAGGAAAACCCAAAAGTATTAGGAAATTCAAAATACAAATTTCTTGGCACTTTTAATCCACTGATCATCTCTCAGAGATGTCCAAGGACGTTACAAATATTAGTCCTGAAAACTGTCCACGTAGATACTGTCAGCTGAAGTAAACGAGAATTCTAGGCACAGATAGTTTTTCAGAATAAGACACTGAATACTAATATCACAGTGTTTTTAAGAGATACAGTCACATCTCCATTTAATGCATATTGTCTCTAAGGAACCAAAAGGTTAAACTGCCTGCTAAGATACAATAGGTCAGTGGCAGAGCCTGGAGTAGCACTCAGAAGTGCTGATTCCCATGGCAATACCAACTTCTAGACAGATTTGCATATTAATATCTACTAACTGCAATACTTTTTCCCTCTCTTCAAATTATATCATTTGCTACATAATAGTAGGCAATTATAAGTGAGTAAAAGAAGGAAAATAACTATTTGATTTTAACTTTTCTGACTAAATTAAATACTAGCTTATCTTTTATTCTGAACACAGGATAAAGGAGCTGCATTGCTCACAATGAATTCATTAATCTAACAAAGGTACCTTTTTACTCTTCAAACATGGGATGCCAAGCTATAAAATTCAGACAGCAATATTTTGAGACTGAGAGCAAAATTAAGCTCCAGAAGCTGAGCTAGCTGATCCATGCTTAGAGTCAGCATCACTGCTTATTGAAGGTAAGGTGCAGCATGAAGCCCACAAATTGGGCTCCCCCAAGAGTTCAGAGTATCACTAATTAGAAAGGGAAAAAAATTTTCACTCTATTAAAATTGTATGTTCCAGCTAAGCAGCACTTATCAAGCCATAAAAATTAAATAACTCCCACTGTTTTTGTACTTATCAGTCACACCATGGTTATACAGTCAAAACACTTCCCTGTAGGTATACATACGCCCATTCACTTGCTTTTTGCAAAAGTTTGTTTGCAGTTATATATATAGCATATTAAAAATGCTCAGAAAATATGCTACAGACCTAAATGATTATTTCCAGTCATTTCCATAGCTTGTTTTGGTTTTCAACTTAATGAAGAGCTCTATTGACAAAACTAGGACAGAGTGATATATGTAGTATTCACAGTGGAGATGAACAGCATATATAAAAGCACAGAGCAGTGCTGTCTGGGCTGCATTTATTCAGCTATGACTCAGCTCTTTGGTCAACATGCTTTTGACTAGGTCCAAGCTTTACACCTGTTTTAGTAATTAGTAATTACTGAATGTGCCTCTTATAGCTTTCTTTTATTTTAAGGACATCTTCATTTTATTACCATATCAGTAAAACTCCCATACATCTTGAGCTAAGATACTAAGTATGCCTGTTAACACATGCTGCTAAACTTTTCAACTGAAATCTGTAGACGTACATATACCTGGATATTCTGGGTCTACCTAAGCCCAAGGACTCCGTATTTTTTAACTTCTATTTTGAAGTTACCAAGTGCATAGGAACATTTTTGAAATACACTTTTTCAATGAAAATAATTTGAAAGCTCAAAATAACTAACACAGAAACACAAACCAATAATTATTAAAAATTTATGTTATCCTCAGTATGCAAAGTCTTTTCATTTTACATAGAGTCAAGGTGAACTGAATTACAGAGTTTGCTTTATACTAGTTCAACCCACACTAAAAGCACATTGCAGTCTCTGTGAAGCCAAAAGAAGTATATGGATGCCTATGTTCAACACAGTGAGTTTTTTCTGGCATGCACCTTTTCAAAATGATGGGTCAAGATTGGGTCAGATTTTATAATACTCCTAAATGTACAAATATTTTATGATGCATCAGTCTCTAGATGTTATATGCCTCTCTGTGCATTACTAACTAAATAGTACGTGTGGTAAGGTGAACACAGCTGCCAGGAGCAATCTGTTGCTATCTACCACATATCACAAACCATTAACTGCTTATTTAGACACAACAACAGCAAAGCATACCTTAATGATCACCTAATGATTTCGAACTTCTTAGTGCCAGGGTGCTCAGAAGTCCAAAGTGCTAAGTTTTGTACAAACACCAACGAACCAAATCATGATGGTCCTTTCCTCAAAAGGACTTTTATTTAAGCTTAAAAGCAGCAAAGAAAGCTGGATACAGACAGAAACGTAAAAAGAAACACTGACAGATCAACCTAGCACATTAGCTACAGTACAACACTTTAATTAGTTACATCAGTAATTAATTAGTCTAACCACTGTCACGTTCACAGAGAGATCACAATAAATGAGAATCTGAAGGATTTGTAAGAGGCCAACAAAATAGTCTGTGGATGTCTAAGAGATCCATCCCTCCATAAAGGAACCATGTAAGCAAGGCAAAAAATGCTAGTACAGAAAAGTAGTGAGCAGGTAATGAATACTAGGGTGGTATTACATCTGGAGATGGAAATCAGCCTTTTGATATTAAAAAAAAAAAAAAAGGGCTGATTTTTAGGGAAAGGTTGTGCACAGCCTTGACATTGAAAAGTTGTATTTATATTTGATGTGACAGAATAGAGGAAATCAATGGAGAAATGCAAAAGAGAGGTGAAATGTCAACAACACAAAATTAAAAAAAAAGAAAGAGAAAGAACATTCACTGCAGTAGTAACAGTGCTTTGAATGGATGAGGGCAGGGCAAGATTGCTTTTGTCAAGTCAAGGCCAGGGAAATGGATGTTGAAGTAACTGAGACGCGAGGCTGTTAGAAACTGAATAATTTTTTAGCCAGACGGATAGATAGGACAGGTCTTATCTCAAGGACACTACACAGAAAGAATCTACAAGAGCAGGCCCAAGTTGACTTGAAGAATGGTTGAGACTTCCAGAGCAGCAAAAAAGGAAGTGGCAGGGAGAATTCTGGATTAGGTCAACTGGATGATGATTAACGAGCAGTGAGAGAAAGAGAGCTGCTTATAGACAAGAGGAAATGAATGTGAAATAGAGAACTACATCTCTGAGTCCTCTTCATAAAGTGGCAGTTGAAATTGTATTTGCAGATGCTTTTACCAAGTCTCAAGTAGGCAGTGGCAGCCAAGAATAGCTTTCCAGGGAACTACATAGGACACTAGAGGTTATAAGAAACCAGAGGATATCTTCAATCTACATGTAATCTTGGGTCAAATTCATGTGGAAAGTCATATCCAAAAAGCATTCTCTCTGTCCTCCTTGCAGTCTACGGGACGTTGCTCCTCAGGCTTTTCACAAGTTTCCCAGAGATATCAATGGGGGCTCTTTATGCAACTCTCAGCAGAATATTATTCTAAACCTATTTATAGTGCTAACTGGAACTCTGAGAACACAACGTTCCTATTGTAGGCTCTGCAGACATACAAAAGGCACATTCAGTTCCTGAACATTATAGTCTAAATGAAAACATGCCTGTGTAAAAACAGCCAAAAGATTTTATACTAAATCTTACCAAACTTTCCCCCCAAAAGTCTCCTCAAAAGTAAACCAGAAGCAATACAAGGGGATGTTACTACTTGTAAATCTCATCATCTCTCATTCTTAGGAATGTGCTTTGGTGAGTGAACTGTTAAAAGTGGTTTATTAACACCCTGGGGTCACCATACTGTGTGTTTGTAGAAGATATGGCTTATTTTAGGGACAGCAAAAGGAAATCCCTTTAGGAAGCCGCATCTTGAAAGCCAAAAGAGTAAGGCTGAAGCTAAAAGGCTACGTAGTCAGATGCCTATTGAGAAACTGTACAAGCAAAAGCTAACTTATGAGGGGAAGCTTAACCATCACTGAAAAGAACTAGCCTAGAAAATTTCCTTCTAATAGGTGACCCACACTAAGGCATCGATTTGGGAAAAAAACATGCCACTTACCTTTTTCCAGTACCTGGAGCACTTGTTCACGCACTGCATTCACTGACACTAACGGCAACTTTCTCCAGTAAGAAAGCAACCAAAACACCACAAAAATGATCTGGCAGAAACAGCTGGGATTTTCATTACAACAGTTCAAATGATGAGAAAGTTGTGAGGCTTATGGAAAATGGCAATGAGAATAAAAAGACTGATTCTCTATAGACCATCCTTTCTTCATCAAGTATAAGCTTTGCTGATCATGAGTACAAGCTAAGGAAAGCTTCTCTGCAATTTAGTCACTCACTTCTATTTACATTTTGCACTGCAGGCAAGGGACTGGCTCTTCTTGCTCTATGTCTATGTTATATATCTTTGTTCACCTCTTAAGGTAACAGTCATGCAGGCAAAGAGGCAACTGAAAGAAAGAAAGTATGGCGGAATAATACCTAACTGAAGGGGGACTAGATGAAGGGAGACAACCGTGTTACTTCACTGCTTATAGAAACTCATACCTCTGACTTGGTTTATCGTATTA